TCCTCTGGCTGACCTCCCAATAGATCCCTGTGGTGCCAGGCAGGAATGGGCTGCTGAGGACCCAGTGAGTTCACAGGGCCTTCCTACTCTTCCTCTACCCCTGTATTTTACTCAGCTCTCTAACCTGACTCAGCTTCATGTAAAGTTGGAAACTACAGACCTTTAGCTTCTCCAGTGGGGGCATGTGTCTGGGAGAGGAGGGTCTCCCTTTCCCACTTTTGCAGTTGGGGCACTTACAGTATTTGGGGGGTCTACTGGGTCCTGCAGGAGCAGTCTGCTTCCTTCAGAGGGTCTATGGGTTCTCTCAGGATTAATCATGTAATATTTTGAAACACCACATAATTATTTAAAGATTCTAACATATACAATCTAATCCTTATGATTCTTGTAAATGTAAGTAAAATAAGGCAGGTATATAATAGAACTTTGACCAATGTTTCTATAAATCAAATGTCTGCCAACTATAGTTTGTGTCGTCACCTGTTTTTGAAAATAAAGTGTTATTAGAATATAGCCCCACCCATTTACTTATGTATTGTCTATGGCTGCATTTGGACTATATGCAGAGTTTAGTAGTTGAGACAGAGACTATGACCTGCAAAGCCATAAATAATCAGTATCTGGTATTTACGGAAAAGTTAGCCAACCATTTGTATAAAGACTCAGATCTTATTTTTTGGTGAAAAACTGAAAAAAAAAAAAAAGGAAATGAAAAACCTAGTGAAACTTATTTTATTTCTAGTTCAAAACAAATCTTTAACTGCTGTAAGAAATGTCAACTACTTACCTAGGACTTTTGACAATTGGGATGAAGTCTACGTATGCTAAGTAATATGAAGAGAATTATTTTGTTGGTCAAAAATGTCAAAAAAATTCCATATTCCCTTGGCAGGATTTCAAGTATGACCTTTAAGAATTAGGAAAAGACTAGCCTATGCTTTAGGATTAAAACAATCAAATAATTAAACTAGTTCCATTTTCTAACATATTATCTATCATCATTTAAAGTGAATCATTGCAAATTATACATTACTAAAATTACACAGTGCATAATTGTTATGTTATTATTTAATTCAGCGTCAATTGCATAAAGGTCCAAAGTGTTACATTAAAGTTATAATCAAGATGAATTGAACAAGAAAGAAAAGATTTCTTTGTTAGCCCAATTGTTGATGATTCAATTCCTATTCATGCTAATGATTTCTTCTATCTTCCTATGGAAAACATGAGATTCTAGGGATTGCTGGCAAGATGGATGAATAGGAAGAGCTCCGGTGTGCAGATCTGAGCAAGAGTGACATAGAAGGCAGGTGATCTCCGAATTTTCAACTGAGGTACCTGGTTCATCTCATTGGGACTGGTTAGACAGTGGGTGCAGCCCAAGGAGGGTGAGCCAAAGCAGGGTAGGGCATCGCCTCACCCAGGAAGCACAAGGGGTGGGAGAATTCCCTCTCCTAGCCAAGGGAAGCCATTAGGGACTGTTCCTGGCACTCTGGCCCAGATACTGTACTTTTCCCATGATCTTCACAATGTGTAGACCAGGATATTCCCTCTTGTGCCTACAACACCAGGACCCTGGGTTTCCAGCACAAAACTGGGTGGCCATTTGGGAAGACACCGAGCTAGCTGCAGCAGTTTTTTTTTTTTTTTCCATACCCCAGTGGTACCTGGAATGCCAGCAGGACAGAACTGTTCACTCCTCTGAAAAAGGGTGCTGAAGCCAGGGAGCCAAGTGGTCTGGCTTGGCAGGTACCATGCCCATGAAAACCAGCAAGCTAAGTTTCACTTGCTTGAAATTCTCGCAGCCACCATGGCAGCCTGAGCTCAACCTGGGACGTTTTGAGCTCGATGTGGGGAGCAGCATCCGTCATTGCTGAGGCTGGAATAGGCAGTTTTAACCTTGCCTGTGTAAACAAAGTCACCAGGAAACTCGAACAGAGTGGAGCCAATGACAGCACAGCAAGGCCTCTGTAGGCAGACTGTGTCACTAGACTCCCTTTTCACTGGGCAGGGCAACTCTGAAAAAAGGCAGCAGCCCGTCAGGGACTTATAAATAAGGCCCTCACCTTCCTGGGACAGAGCACCTAGGAAAAGGGGCGGTTGTGGGTTAAACTTCAGCAGACCAAAATGTCCCTGCCCGGTAGCTCTGAAGAAAGCAGCAGATTTCCCAGCACAGCATTTGAGTTCTGATAAAGGTCACACTGCCTCCTCAAGTGCCTCCCTGACCCCTGTGTATCCTGACTGGTAGGGGCCGACAGACACCTCATATAGGAGAGCTTTGGCTGGCATCTGGCTGGTACCTTCTGGGATGAAGCTACCAGAGGAAGCTACCAGAGGAAGGAATAGGAGCAACCTTTGCTGCTATGCAGCCCCAGCTGGTGATTCCTAGGCAAGCAGGGTCTGGAGTGGACCTCCAGCAAACTCCAGCAGACCTGCAGCAGAGGGGCCTGACTATTAGAAGGAAAACTAACAAACAGAAAGAAAAAGTTTTGACATCAACAGAAAGGATGTCTACTCAGCGACCCCATCCAAAGGCCACCAACTTCAAAGACCAAAGGCAGATAAATCTATGAAGACGGAAGAAACCAGAGCAAAAAGGCTGAAAATTCAAAAAACCAGAATGCCTCTTCTGATCCAAGGGATCACAACTCCTCACCAGCAAGGGAACAAAACTGAATAGAGAGTGAGTTTGATGAATTGACAAAAGCAGGCTTCAGAAGGTGGGTAATAACAAACTTCTCTGAGCTAAAGGAGCATGTTCTAACCCAATGCAAGGAAGCTAAGGACTTTGAAAAAAGGTTAGACAAAATGATAACTAGAATAACCAGTGTAGAGAAGAACATAAATGACCTGATGGAGCTGAAAAACACAGAATGAGAACTTTGTGAAGCATACACAGTTTTAATAGCTGGATCAAGCAAAAGAAAGGATATCAGAGAGTGAAGATCAATTCAATGAAATAAAGCAAGAAGACAAGATGAGAGAAAAAAAGAGTGAAAAGAAATGAACAAAGCCTCCAAGAAATATGGGATTATGTGAAAAGACTAAATCTACATTTGATCTGTATACCTGAAAATGATGGGAAAAATGAAACCAAGTTGGAAAACACTCTTCAGCACATTATCCAGGAGAACTTCCCCAACCTAGATAGGCAGACAAACACTGAAAAAAACTGACAAAAACAGGCAATGGGGAAAGGATTCCCTGTTCAATAAATGGTGTCGGGAAAATTGGCTAGCCATGTGCATTAGAGAAATGCAAATCAAAACCACATTGAGACACCATCTCATGCCAGTTAGAATGGCAATCATTAAAAAATCAGGAGACATTGCCAGGCACGGTGTCTCACGCCTGTAATCCCAGCACTTTGGGAGGCCAGGGCAGGCAGATCACAAGGTCAGAAGTTTGAGACCAGTCTGGCTAGCATGGTGAAACCCCATCTGTACTAAAAATACAAAAATTAGCCAGGCATGTTGATGTGTGCCTTTAATCCTGCTACTCAGTGGAGGCAGGGGGGAGGGTTGAGGGAGGAGAATCACTTGAACCCAGGACAAAGGTTGCAGTCAGCTGAGATTGTGCCACTGCACTCCAGCCTGGATGACAGAACAAGACTCCACCTCAAAAAAAAAAAAAAGAAAAAAAAAAAGAAAAGAAGGAGACAGCAGATGCTGGAGAGGATGTGGAGAAATAGGAATGGTTTTACACTGTTGGTAGGAGTGTAAATTAGTTCAACTATTGTGGAAGACAGTGTGGCAATTCCTCAAGGATCTAGAAGTATAAATACCGTTTGACCCAACAATCCCATTACTGGTTATGTATATACCCAGATTATAAATCATTCTATTACAAGGAAACATGCACACATATGTTTATTGCAGCACTGTTTATAATAGAAAAGACTTGGAACCAATTCAAATGCCCATCAATGATAGACTAGATAAAGAAAATGTGGCACATATATACCATGGAATACTATGCAGCCATAAAAAAGGATGAGTTCATGTCCTTTGCAGGGGCATGGATGAAGCTGGAAACTATCATTCTCAGCAAACTGGCACAAGAACGGAATACCAAGCATCACATGTTCTTACTCAAAGTGGGTGTTGAACAATGAGAACACATGGACATAGGGAGGGAAGCATCACGTACTGGGGCCTTTCAGGGGCTGAGGGGCTAGGGGAGGGATAGCAGGGGGTGAGGGGCTTGGGGGGGGATAACATTAGGAGAAATACCTAATGTAGATGATGGGGTGATGGATCCAGCAAACCACCATGGCGTGTGTATACCTATGTAACAAACCTGCACATTCTGCACATGTGCCACAGAACTTAAAGTATAATAATAAAGAGCAGAAATACAACATGAATATCCACTATCACCCTTTCTCTTTAAGATTGTTTGGAAAGCTGAGCCCTAACGGGAGAAAAGTTCAAAAGAGAGAGAGAGAGAGAGAGAGAGAGAGAGAGAGAGAGAGAATAATTGGATAGAAAGGAACAAAATTCTTATTATTTGCCAAATGATACAACAGTCTACATAGAAAATTAATCTGTAAAAACCTATCATAATTAGTAAAATTATATAGCGTGTTTGCTAAATAATTTCAATTAACAAAAACCAATATTGTAATGTACTTGTAATGCAGTAAAATGTAAAGATACCATTTACAATCATAGTGAAAATATAATACTCAGGATGAAACCTAAACAAAAAAAAATTCTAGATCTCTGTATAAGGTGGTTTGCTTTAGCTTGAGATCCATCAGTGAGAATTATCCATGGGCAATGTCCAGAAATCACATTATTTCTCATAGACCTTGTAGCCTTGATATTATAAAGTTCTATGGAGAACTTTACACTGTCTTCCATAGGAAGCTGGGATGGTTGTTTCTGATATTGGAACCCATCGTGCACCTGTGCCCAAATATGTCCTAAGACTTTTACCTAGGACTTTCCTCAGTATCCACTGGTCATCCGGAAGAATAAACTCCTGAGAGACAACAATTCATGACCTCTCCTCTCTTGGTACAGAGGTAAATGCATCTTTGTTGCACAATTTACAATCTTTTTAAGGAAAAAACATGATTTTGATCATTGAACAGCATGTTCTTATAAACTTTTAGTGTTATCATGCAAGATCTAATTCTTATCAAATGTAGTGATACTTGTTGCAGATACTAAAATTGTTTCAGTTATGCCTTGGGTCAGGGTGACAGAAAAGCTCTATTGTTTAGATCTTTAGCTTATGGAACACATATCTCTTGGATTTTTTCCTCAGGGTCTTCTGTAGCTTTTGTATCTCATTTTGAAGTTGGGTGCTTTCACCTTGGCATCTCTCCTTCAGTAGTCGAGTCTGTTCCTAAAAAGGAACAAATGGAGGCTAAATAAGTGTACCATTAAGTAAATCTCTGTGAGCTGTCTAGTTTCCACATGCATTGATTTATTTAGTACTTAATTTTTTCTTGAAATGTTCTCTACCCTTGATTTTCATTATAGTGTTCCTTGGGCATTTGAGCTCCGTGATGATTTCTCCTGGGGTTTCTACAGCCAAAGGAGTTGCAGCTTATATCTTCTGCTCTATTGATGAAGGTCTTGTTTTTTTTCTTCTATTAATTATAAAAAACCTTTGTGGGCAATCTTAATAATATATTTGACTTCAGATCTTCCCTATGCATTATAGAGTTTTTAATACACCTACCTACACACATATTATTATGTATACACATAATACAGAAGCAAGGTATTCTCAAAATATGATGTGTATGAATCTTAGATCAGGAAATTTGATCTAAGTCTCTACTCTCTGGTGGCAGGGATAGCAGAAGATAGGTAAGGAAATCCCAGTGCCAGACTTTCCGTATGGATTTCTGCACATAGCTCCCAACTCAATACAAACTGTGAGTAGGGCACAGAAAACAGGCAAGAGTATTAGACTGTCCTACAAGTGTGAGGGTTAGGGAGTCCTTCTACTCATAAAAGTTCTTTTAGAGCCAAAGTCATACTGGATGGGATAGAAAAAAATATTACTGTGGATTCCACTCAGTGATGAAGCTGGGTCAGATATTTACTAGCTGTGTGACCCTGTAAAAGTTATTTAATATTTTCTGAACCTCTGTTTCCTCTCCTTCGTAATAGGGATCAAGTTCTTGTTTCATATGGTATTAAGCAAGAGATATAGATAAGGCATTTTAATGATGCCTAGCATATGACAGTCATGATTAGTGGAAGGGTATACTAAAAAAGGACTGAATGTGACACCCTGCAAATAAACTTTTAGTGACCACATGTAGGTAGTGGCCAGTTCAGGTCAGACAGACAGAAAGTACAAGTAAGCAAGTAGAATCCTTCCCCTACGCTTTATGTTCTCTCTGCCATACTAAGTTTGTGATCAAGAAGAATAGAGAGAAAACAGAAAAACAGAAACTACAAGGTGATACAATTAGATACCTGAAGTTTACTAGTAAGAGTCCTCTCTTGCTCTTCCAGCAACTCAGCCCTCTCCCTCTCCATCCTTTCAGTCAATTGCTTCACATGTTCCTGGTAACCCTTCTCTTTCTCTTCCATCATCTGCTGATACTTTATTTGCATTTCCTCTACCATATTTGCTGAAACCTGTGCAGATTCAGCTTTCACACGTTCCGCTGTGGAGGAAAAAGAAGCAAAATTTGTGTGAGGTTATCTTGTTGCCTCATTCTTCCTTACACACTTACCTGCCATTGTTGCTGCTGACTGGATATGCCCTTCTCAGAGATGACCTCAGCAGGTAAGACACATCTTGCTTTAGTTTATGGAACTTAGGTTTATTACTTAAAATTTGAAGAGCTTTAGGATAATCTGATCCTTTGATGTGCTCCTTACCTTCAATCTCCTTTTCCTTTTCTGTGAGAATCTGATCTGTCTGTAGAATCGCATCAGTCATAGACTTCTTGGATTTCAAGTATGTCTGCAGAATCTCTTCAGCCTTAGACCCAGAGAACACAGAGTGAGCAGTAGGAAATGGCTGTAAGCAGGTGTTACTGTTTGTCTGCTCACCATCTTTTCTTCTGGAATTCTTCCTCTTGGCCCCGGTGTATACAGTGGTCAAGATTCCCTATCGCAGGTGCAGATACATGCTCCAAGCTGGCCAATCAGATTACCATACTTAGCAGAGTCTTATTTAAGAGGATGATATAGATGCTGGGAAATAGGATTCCCTGAACTTTTCAAACTGAGGGCTCTAAATGTGGTTCCATACGGCTGATCTAGCTGGAGAATGAAGTCCTCCTTAACACAGCAAATCAGAGTGATTCAGATAGAGGGAGGAAGAGAGGGAGAGAACTGTGGGGATGCGGGGAGGACATCAGGCAGGAGACAAATCACCACATTATTTGAAATCTTGTATCCCGATGTCCTTTAAATCCAGTTTGAAGCCTAAAATGATAAATTACCATTTTTTTTTTAAAGCAACCATCATTGGGTTTCTGTGTCTTGGAACAGAAAAAATCCAGCTGTAACGATCATGATAACAACTTGTGGTTAATCTGATAATTGAGTTTATAACTCGATAGTTAATTAACTGCACTCTTTCTTTAATTAATTAATCAAAGAATTTTTAAAAGACAGAATGTGTCTCTGTTGCCCAGGCTGGAGTGCTGTGCAGTCTTGGCTCAATGAACCTCTACTTACTGGGCTCAAGCAATTCTCCTGCCTCAGCCTTCTGAGTAGCTGGGACTACAGGCCTGTGCCACAGTGCCTGGCTAATTTTTATATTCTTAGTAGAGACAGGTTTCACCATGTTGCCCAGGCTGGTCTTAAACTCCTGAGCTCAAGTAATCTGCCCACCTCCACCTCCCAGAGTGTTAGGATTACAGGCTTTGAGCCACCACGCCTGCTGACTACATTCTTTTTGATGAGCACTTGGGACATATCTGGTATAACAGCCTCTTTGCATATGTTATTGAATGAAAATGTGAATGTTATGCAGACAGAAAAGCACATCTGTGTGCAATGAAGCTTGGTCACCTTGGTGTTTGCAGGAGGCAGGTCAGTAGCTTTCCATAAATGACAGATGAATCTTGGTTACCTGTATCCCCTTCCTCGGTTCCTCATGGTACTTTTTCTTCAGGTCTTGTAGCTTCTGAATAAAGAGACGATAGCCCCCTGGTTTAGAATAAATTCCCACCTTCACTTCTTCTTCTAGAGGACTGAAAATGTTCTGAAGTAAAGCTGAGCAACGATCTGATGATGCTTTCCGATTCTGTTCACAAAAGTCATCCCACTTTTTGTCTAGCTCGGCCTTTAATGTAAAAACAGGAAGTAAAAAGAGTAACAGGAAAGGATGCTGGCTTGACCTCAGAATTTTGGGAAAGACTTCTGAAAATAAAAAGTCAGTGACTCTGGAGAAACTGAGAGGCTCCCCAGCAGGACCACACTCTTCCTCCTGACCCCACTTTCTACTGAAGTTGCTTTCTCCTTGGAGGTGGGTTTCAGGGCAGAGATTGATAGCTTTATGTCAACTGTTAGAGGAAAACCCTGCTTTTTCATATTGGAGTAATGATGTTATATGGAATAAATGTGCCTGAACAGAAGCCTGCTCAAGATAACTAGGATGAAAATTTTCTTTGCATTTGGTTAGAATATCAAATCAGTCTGAGAAGAGTGGGCAGGTAATTTGATTAGAAGCTTTGATTGTCAGTTACATGCATTTAATAAAGAGAAGAGCATTTATAGATAAGCTATGTGTTTCAACTTTGAATCTGAAGTAATAAAATTGTTTTTTTTCCAATTATCATGATTACCAACAGCTAGCTGTCACCATTTTAAAATCTAGAATAACTATTTCTCTCAAAATAAATGCCAATTTCATTTCTTAGTAGTACTTTGCCTTCCCAAATCCAAATCCATGTAAATGTGATAGAAAAATTACCCCTAATTTCTTTTGAAACAGATGGTCCACATCCTTGAAAGAGTTCTTCATGAAGACTTCAATGGCCTCCCTCTCACTGTCCCTGTGCAGGTCCAGCAGCTCCTGGAGGGTTTCCGTGGGCAGCTGCACCTTCTGGCCCATCTGCTGGTCGTAGTGGGCAATGGCTTTTTGCACTGCAGCTGAGTTCTCTATCTGGGCCAAGGCCAGGACTGCGTTCTCCATGCAGGGCAGATCCCCACTGCTGATGGCACTGACATAGGTCAGCACCAGGCTCCCTAGACCTGCATATAGAGAGCAAATAATAATTTTTCTTGTACTAAAGAAAACTCCCTATTCTGTGTTATTCTGAACATGTCAATCACCACCTATTTTTCTCACAGCATCAATCTCCTCAGCATCACCTGGGAGCTTGCTGGAAATGCAGATTGTCAGCCTCTGCCTCAGATCTACTGAATTAGAGTTTTTTATTTGGGTAAGATCCCCAGATGATATGTATGCCTATCAACATTTGAGAATCCTTGTTCTAGATGACATAGGCCTGTTGTAGTTGAATGTTTGCATCCATTTTAACCCCAAGCACCATCAGGAAAGGAAACTGTAGCTATTTCATTTATGACTGTATCCTCAGCCTATTCATAGTAGCATTTTATCAATACTTATGGAACAAATGGTACTCTCCTAATCAAAAGAAGTCCTCCATTTGGTTTATTTTATCACAGCATTGTCCAAGAAAGCTTTCTGTAATCGTGGAAGTTTTCTGTATGTACTGTTCAGTATGCTGGGCACTAAGTACATGTAGATATAAGCCTTTGAAATATAGCCATGTGAATTGACTTTAATATTTTCCTTATTTTAATTAATTTACATTTACATTTAGATAGCCCCACTTGTCTAGTGGCCACTGTATTGTACAGTGCAGACCAAGTTTACTATGGCAATATTAAGTAATAAAACATTTTTCCTTTGCTTTTTTTATCTTTTCCCACCAAGAAATTGACTAACAAAATCTATAAGAAATGTCGGTGCCATCTAGAATTTAACATAGACATAGCAATCGATTCGGATTTTTCAATACTGAAACTAGGTGGAGTTATTTCATGCTCCTTTTGTTGTTTTCTTTCTTTTTTTTTTTTTCTCTGTCACCCAGGCTGGAGTGCTGTGGCACGATCTTGTTTCCCTGCAACCTCTGCCTCCTGCATGCGTTCAAGCAATTCTCCTGCCTCAGCCCCCCAAGTAGCTGGGATTACAAGCAAGTGCCACCATGTCTGACTAATTTTTTTTTTTTTTTTTTTTTTTTTTTTGTATTTTTAGTGGAGACACAGTTTTCCCATGCTGGATAGGCTGGTCTCGAACTCCTGGCCTCAAGTGATCCTCCCGCCTCAGCCTCCCAAAGTGCTGGGTTTAGAGGCGTGAGCCACCATGCCTGGCCATCCTTTAGTTTTAACAATAAGTGGAAGTACTAGGAAGGGGACTTACGAGGCCCGTTGACCTTGATGCCTCCTGAAAGAGTTTTAGTTTTGGAATTAGTAAAGATGTAGGAACAGAAGTCTGCTACTTGTCGCACAAATTCGGAGTCCAGCTCTTCATCATGCAGTTTCTCGAGCTGGGCAAGCTTCTTGGAATTAACAGGTCGATCAAAGACAAAGCATTTCTTCTTTGGGAAGAACTTCTGGATACAGAGTCGGGGCAGATTAAAATTTTTATCTTTTTCACTGGTACCTAGAGAAACATAATAAAGAAATTTGCCTAATATAAATTTTTCTGTAGAAGGTCAAGCAGTAAATATTTTAGGCTCTGCAGGCTAAGTGGTCTCTTTTCCAAGTACTCAACTCTGTTACTGGAGCGCATGACAACAGCTTTAGACAATATGTAAATGAATAGTCATAGCATTCTTCCCAAAAAATCTCATTTACAAATACAGCTGGCAGGCAGGATTGGCCATCATTTGTCTTAGGCTGCGGTTTGCCAACATTTGGACTAGTACACTGTTCATATTTAATTCATGTTCTTTAAATAAATATCTATTGTCCTTCATATTTTAGGCTAAATACAGAATGACAAACCCTACATACAGAGATAAAATTTATCTAAATTATAAAATAGGGAAAAATGAAAGAAAGAAAAATTTATTTGAGAACATGGGAGAATATAATTAAAAATCTAATCTATTAATTCAGATATGCAGCAAGCATTAATTCCTTTTTTCCTTTCTTTTAAAAAAAAGTCTGTGCTATTGCTAATAGCAAGCATTAATTCTTAAAAATAGCAAGCTAGAGATATAGAAAACTGTAAATGTAAGAAAACTATCAATAGTAAACTAAAAAATGATAATTTCCAGTGTTTTGTCATCCTCATTTATCAATGGTATATCCCTGTTACCTTGCTTCAGCTTCAGGGAGTACTCCAGGTACTCATCTGCTGTGAGGGATTGTCCATGTACTTCCAAGTCCAGGGAGAAATCTCTCAATGTCCACACAAAATCTGGCAAGAAGCTTACAAAATCAGCTGAATCCTCAACCTCGTAGTTCTCACCAGGTGAGGATTTTGACTGGATTCGATCTGTGAGCTCTGTCACATAGCTGAGCAGCTAACTAAGGAAATGTGGCAAAATGAACAGGGACCTTATCCCATATTATTTCAACATATTCCCACACCTTCCATTTTCCTTTGCTCTTCACCTGTGAAGTCTAAAGTGGATACATGGAATCTCTTCCCTTCCCTGTACTTGCATTATTTTTTATGTTTTCTCCTTTTGAGCTTGATTGATAAGGATTCACAGGCAGCTTGTTTATGAATACTGATGTCCCTCTGACCTTGGTGTTGTTCTGAGTCACAAAAGGATACTGCAGTTGGTCTATGGCCTGCTGGTTGATGGTTCCCATGCTATTGTACACAAAGGTGCTGCTCAGGAGGATGGCCAGGGCGAAGATCCAGGAGTCATTCTGGTTGTCACCCTAGAAGTCAAGACACATTTAGTTCAGGAGCAAGTTTCATTGTCACAGCACTTTTCAGAGTAATAGTAGTATATCATAAGTTAGAGTTTTCTTTGAAGACTAATCACCTATGAAAAGAACCCAAATCCAAACAAAATGATTGTTATTTGGATATGGAATCTGTACAGGTTTTTTGATTAGCATTTTTTGGTATACACTGATTCTCACTAGGTCCTCTTATGATCATTGGCAGATAATTGCAAAACAAACATTCAAGGTTGGTAGGCATTCTAAGGCTTGAAATACAATTTAAATTTGCTCAGGCTACTGCATTATAAGTTCTCTGCAGGATAAGACTCATGACATTGGATTTATTTGTGCTCCCTTATACATCTGTGTTAACTCACATAGCTTATAACCTGCAATTAGTAGGATACTGTCTGTTGACCACCATACTCTGCTAGGATTCTGTCTTATTAATATTTTCTCACTTCTGGTTGCTAAGTTTGGCCTTATGACATGTACACAGAATTGAAAAGACAAATTAGAGTCAAATGCAAATTCTTTAAGAAAAAACAAAATATTCAGAGATAAAATATTTAATTAAATATTAAATATTTAAGAAATAAAATGAGATAAAAGAGATAAAATATCAGTGCATAAAATATTCAGTGATGAGGGGCTTATTCCAGAATTGAATCTTTGACCCTTACCTTCTTTATATCTCCCAGGCCCTCAGTGTCAAGCAGGACTAGTGTATGTCCTGGCTTCTTGGGGTGAGGCACACACCACATCCAGATTCCTTTGGTGTGAGATTTCACTGTGGAGCCCAGAGAGAAGCCTGCAAAGGAGAGATGGGGTAAGAAGGGCTGGAGATTTAATAACAGGTGCTTCTGAAATTTGAGGCAAATGTAGCATCATAATTAATGTTAAGAGAGATAACCGAAACCACAATCAGTACTTACCTTACTTATAATCAGAAAAATAGGAAAATTTGAATATCCAATACATAAATGGATTCAGGACCTTGCATAATAAAAACAATCAACAAATTAGAAAAAACTGAGGCAGGAGAATCACTTGAACCTAGGAGTATAGGTTGCAGTGAGCCAAGATCACACCCTCCAGCCTGGGCAACAAAGTGAGACTCCATCTCAAAAAAAAGAAAAAAAAAAAAAAGAAAAGAAAAGAAAAGAAAAAGGAAATAGAAAAAAACAAAAACAAAACAAAACTACCTCAACAAAGTAAAGGACATATATGAAAAGTCCACAGCCCACTTCGCACTCAATGGTGAAGACTGAAAATTTTCCTCTAATGTTAGGAACAAGCAAAAGATGCCCACTTTTGCCACTTCTTTTCCACAAAGTACTAGAGGTCCTATCCAGAATAATTAGGTGAGAAAAGGAAACAGAAAGCATCTAAATTGGAAAGGAAGATGTGAGTTAATCTCTATTCATTGATGACATGTTCTATGCAGAAAACCTTAAATATTACACAGAACTGTTAGAACTAATAAAAAGAATTCAGCAAAGTTGCAGCATACAAAATCAACATGCAAAAATCAGTTGTATCTCTATAGAGCAGCAATGAGCAATCTGAAAAGGAAATTTTGAAAACAATCCCACTTAGCACCAAAAGGGCAAACTACTTAAGAATAAACTTAACCATGGAGGGGAATGACTTGTATAATGAAAATTACAAAACTTTTTTTTTTTTTTTTTGAGACAGAGTCTTACTCTGTTAGCCAGGCTGGACTGCAATCACTGCTCACTATAGCCTTAACCTCCCAGGCTCAAGCAGTCCTCCCTCTTCAGCCTCCCAAGTAGCTGAGACTACAGGCACCTGCCACCAGGCCCGGCTAATTTTTGTATTTTTTGTAGAGATGGGCTTTCCTCATATTGTCCAGCTTTGTCTCAAATTCTTGAGCTCAAGTGATCTGCTTGCCTCAGCCTCCCAAAGTGCTGGAATCACAGAAGTGAACCACTGTGCTTGGCCAAACCTGGGCGACAGAGTAAGACTCTCTCTCAAAAAAAAAAAAAAAAAAAAAAAAAATTGAAAATAACAAATGTTGGTGAGTATGAAGAGAAATTAGAACCCTTGTGCATTTCTGTTGGGAATGTAAAGTGGTACAGTCGCTGTGGAAAACGATATAGCAATTCCTTAAAAAATTTAATGGAATGACTCTATGAGCCAGCAATTCCACTTCTGGGTATATACCTAAAAGAAGTGAAAGCAAGGTCTTGAACAGATATGCAAGCATCCATGATCCTATCAGCATTATTTATAGTAGCCAAGGGGTGGAAGCAAGCCAAGTGCCAATTGACAGGTGAACAGATAAATTAGTATACGCATACAATTACTCAGCCTTAAAAAGGAAGAATTTTGACACATGCTACCACACTGATGAAACTTGAAGACATTATGTGAATTAAAATAAGCCCATCACCAAAGGACAAATATTGAATTACTCCGCTTGTATAACATTCCTAGAGTAATCAAATTAATAGAGATGGAATGTAGAATTGTGGTAGGAGATGGGTATAGGTGGGGCTTTTGTTTAATTGGCACAGAGTTTCTGTTAGGGAAGATTAAGAAGTTCTGGAAATAGATGGTGGTGATAGTTGCACAACAATTTGAATTTAATACCACAGAACTACATACTTAATAATGGTTACAAGGGTAAAATTTATATTTTTATATATATTAAAACAATAAAAGAGAATATCCAATACAGACTGAAATGTTTTTTCAATCTTAAAGATCAGTGTAAATTTGCTGTTACTGTGTGAACATAGGCAGGTGGTCTCTTGAGCCCAGGAGTTTGAGACCATCATGGGCAACATGGTGAAACCATGTCTCTACAAAAAATACAAAAATTAGGCGGTGTGCTGGCCTGCACCTGCAGTCCTACCTACTCAGGAGGCTGAGGTGAAAGGATTGCTTGAGCCCAGGAAGTCAAGGCTGTAGTGAGCTGATATCTTGCCACTGCACGCCAGTCTGGGGCTTAGAGCAAAACCTTGTCCCAAGAAAAAAAAGAAAAGACTAGTCAAGTGCAGTCAGTAGTGAGAAGGGTGAGGGGAAAGAGTAGAACATGGAGTTCAACTGTAACTGATGGTGAACAATCAATTGAGATAACTCACTACCTTGAGAGCAGCCATGAGCTGACTCCTAACCTCTAGAAGAGTGAAGATAAAGAGTCCAACTGTAAATTGAAAATTAGCTTATCATTCCCAGCACCAGCTTTCTTTCCTCACATCCTCATAATGGATGCTGACTTTGTGAAGGGAAAATTTAAAAATGATACAGATTTTTCCTCATGTCTCTCACTGACACTCACAAAACTTTTGGCCATCCTGGGGAATTTTGGGCTTGGCAGAGCTTTGCTGGTGTCACTCACCTTTGTTATTTCCAGCCAGCTTGTTCATCAGGTAGGATTTGCCTGTGCGGTAGAGGCCCACAATCGCCACCACCACCACAGGCTGTGTAATGGCAGACAGGATCTTCAGAGCTTCTGGATTCACCACCAGTTGCCTATTAGTGTTCTCAATAAGGCATATTGGACCTGTCTGGTGGATCTCTGATGCCATGTCCAGGGTATTGTTCTCTTGTCTGCAAAGGAAGAGATGGAATGAATTAGAATTTCCAGTCTTTTGCATTTAAGGGATAGAGTCACAAAATTCCCCAGGATGGCCAAAAGTTTTGTGAGTGTCAGTGAGAGACATGAGGAAAAATCTGTATCATTTTTAAAAATTATGGAAGTATTATCATCAAAGTAAATATTGGTATGACAGTAACTTATCAACAGTCAACTACTCTTGTGATCTAGTACTTTCATTTAATTCATTGTGGAAAACCTTCCCTTGGATTCTTATTAAAAATTTTATACTAGACAATAAATGAAAGATAAAATAGGACTTAGATAATTTTTTTACATCCTGGCTATATGTAAGAAATTCAATATTGATGTTTATTCATGCATTCCTATGGTGAATAAAGACCCCCATGAATAAATGTTTCATTGGTATATGCCCTTAGGACAGTTTCCAGGGATTTTTAAATGTGTTACTTCCTCCATCTCCAACTGGTTATGCTTATTTCACTGCAATGAGGATCCACAAAGCTTCTCACAGTGCCATTCTGGAAGTGGAACCAATGTAACATGCTTTTACAAATTTTATAGAACTACATAACTATGTGAAACACATGGCTAGGGACCTTTCCAAGGGCTTTGATGGGGCATGTGCAAGAGAAGGGCCTGGAAACTTAAGCTTCATTAGTGTCATGATAAGGTAGCCTCTAACTCAGTGGGGGTATGAATGCAAAACTGCCAATACTGAATGTTGTCAAGAAACACACACACACACACACACACACACACACACACACACACACACACAGCAAAACAAAAAACAAACAAAAAAATCTCATGAAATAAGGATTAAAAGACCAGGAGGCCCACAAAGAAAACTTCATGGGAAGTTGTTAAAAGAAACTATATTTCCAGCAATACAGCTTCAGGTTTTCTGTTTTTATTCTGTTTTTTCCATTTTGTAGAGTAGGAGAAACAGAAATAGGAAGAGGAGAAATAGAAGTGGGGCGGAGGAGAAGAAGGAGAAGGGACTGGAAAGGTGAGAGAGAGAGAGAGAGAGAATGCATGAGTGCACTCCAGTAAGCGCCAGCAAGTGAACTGTCAGACAAGGTGATGAATGAGGCTAGTGTTTTGTCAAGAAATTCAGGGAGGAGTTTCCAGAAGGTGGGATCCAAGTTGTCTGAGTGCATGGGAGAAGTTAAGGTAAGCAAAGATACTGGCTTTAATAGTGATGCACTACAAGGGAATTACATAGGAAAATTAGTCTACTGCGCTCTCTTAAAAAAAAAAGGGAGAGGAAGCTCTTTAGTCTGGATTGTTTCTAGAGAAATAACCTGGAACAAAGTTCAAATGTGTAATAAAAAGTATGCTGTTTTCATGGATCTTCCTCTTTCATGTTTGGTTTCAGTTTCTTTCTTTAACAGTGTCAGTGGGCTGCTTACTCTGCTTCTCATTTACTGTTCTTTCCTTCTCTTGAAAAGAATCCATTGGTAGCTCTTTCCTTTTCCCAGCTGCTGTAGGAGCAGGATTCAGCAAGCTCCATCACTGACAATGGAATTGTGATTGTGTCCCAAGTCAACACAAACAATGTCAACAAAGAGAAAGACCATCCTAGTGCATTTCAAACTCTCAGTTCCTGTCTGCTGGCGCCTAATTCAACACAATCACTGTGGCACTTAGAGCCACGCCACTCCTGATAGCACCAGAATTTCATCTGACCTGTGTCTTATGTCAGGCTCAACTGGAGCCTAATTTGGTCCCGGTCATTTTTAAGGAAACGAACTGATCTTTATAAATTCCTTCCCATCCCCGCCACAACCTTATAGGCTCAATGTCCCTGAGCTGAGGTACTTCAGAGCTGGAGAGGAAGCAGTTGGAGTTTTTACCTGTTCTTTTCTCTTCAGTCCAGGTAAAGTTGTTTCTGTCACTTCTCTTTTCTTTCACTGGATGGCTGGACTTTTATTTCACCCCTCCAGTGTTGTGTAGCTTTCTGGATTTTTCTCAGTCATCAAATAATTAGAAGGTAAACCACCTTTGTAATGGCATCAGAGCCTGATGAAACTGAAAGTACTTCTTTCACGGCAATGACTCAGTAACCACAAATACAATTTCTGGTCTCTGCTAGTAGGAGGGGTAATTATGAAGTTTGGAGATATGTTAGTCAGCTTGCTTTTTTCTGCCCGTGGATGCCACCAAAGAAGCATCGTTGAAGTCTCTCTTCTCCCTGTGGTCATATCTAAGTCAGAGTCTATTTAACAGCCTGAACAGGGAGAAGCTCTTCAGTGGAGCATTGAGCTTTGAAACAATGGATGAAAGCCTGAGGAGCCATTTTGAGCAATGGGGAATGCTCACGGACTGTGTGGCAATGAGAGATCCAAACACCAAGCACCCCAAGGGCTTTGGGTTTGTCACATATACCACTGTGGAGGAGGTGGATACAGCCATGAATGCAAGGTCACGCAAGGTGGATGGAAGATTTGTGGAACCACAGAGAGCTGTCTCAAGAGAAGATTCTCAAAGGCTAGGTGCTCATGTAACTGTGAGAAAGATATTTATTGGCGGCATTAAAGAAGACATTGAAGAACATCGCCTAAGAGATTATTTTGAATAGTATGGAAAAGCTGAAGTGATTGAAATCATGACTGACAGAGGCAGTGGCTAGAAAAGGGGCTTTGCCTTTGTAACCTTTGATGACCATGAATCTTTGGATAAGATGTCTTTCAAAAATACCATACTGTGAATGGCCACAACTGTGAAGTTAGCAAGGGCCTGTCAAAGCAGGAGATGGCTAGTGCTTCATCCAGCCAAAGAGGTCGAAGTGGTTCTGGAAACTTTGGTGGTGGTGGTGGAGGTGGTTTAGGTGGGAATGACAACTTGCCATGGAGGAAACTTCAGTGGTCGTGGTAGCTTTGGTGGCAGTCATAGTGGTGGTGGATATGGTGGCAGTGGGGATGGCTATAATAGATTTGGTTATGAAGGAAGCAGTTTTGGAGGTGGTGGCAGTTACAATGATTTTGGCAATTACAACCGTCAGTCTTCAAATTTTGGACGCATGAAGGGAGGAAACTTTGGAGGCTGAAGCTGTGGCCTCTATGGTGGTGAAGGCCAATACTTTGCCAAACTAGGAAACCAAGGTGGCTATGGAAGTTCCATTAGCAGCAGTAGCTATGGCAGTGACAGAAGATTTGGATTAGGAAACAAAGCTTAGCAGGAGAGGAGAGCCAGAGAAGTGACAGGGAAGCTACAAGTTACAACAGATTTGTGAACCCAGCCAAGCACAGTGGTGGCAGGGCCTAGCTCCTACAAAGAAGATGTTTTAGACAAATACTCATGTGTATGAGCAAAAACTTGAGGACTGTATTTGTGACTAATTGTATAACATGTTATTTTAATTTCTGTTCTGTGAAAAGTGTAAAGCATTCCAACAGAGGGTTTTAATGTAATTTTTTTGAACCTGTGCTGTTGATTACTAAATGTAATAGTCTGAATGTGATGCTGAATCAATGTCTTTTTTTTTTTAAATATGAAGTTTCAAAGTTTTTTATTGGAAGAGATTTTAGAGACCATTTATTGTTTTAAAAACTTGTCCCTTAGGTATTGAAAAAAAATGAAATGTATCTCAAGATTGGAGATCTGTTTGAGAATTGTAGAATGAGGAGGCATCACATTAATTTTTAGGTATAAGTTTCTATAACAAGAGATAATTCACCATGGAGCTGCCTATTCCTTTAGAGGTGCAGCAAATGAGGAAAGGGCTTGTTTTACCCACTCGTGAACACCGAGCCCCTGGCTCTTAATGGCCAGCACACAGTCAGGAGGGGGCTCCATGCATTGTACTCATGTTCCAGGCTCAGTGCTGAGTGCTTTACATGAATTAACGACTTAAATCTCATAACAAATATTTCCCTATGATTTTATAGAAACGAAGGCACAGGAAGACTTTATCAGTTGTCTAAACTCATAGCACTATAACTAATCTGAACCCGGGGAGTTCCCAAACCCTCTTCTTGAACTACCTTACTATGCTGCTTGTTTGGTGATTGAATAATTGTAAAATAGTTGTAAAAATATTTAATTTGTAGATGTCTCTCTTTTTAAATTTAGTATACTATAACTTGATTTTTCATGAATTATTGTCTTAGAGCTTCAAATGTTATGCGTCTATTTCATTCATGACTACTTACATACAGAATAGGTGGTATTGGTTCTGTTTTACAGTAAAAACAAATTATAGCCCTTGTGAGCATTTAGTTGTTAATTTATTTACACACATTAAAATTATATATTAGGTATATATGAAATGCAGATATGTTGTTCTTTCTTACTCATATTTTATAAAATAATTTCATTCACACTCTACCTATTCTTCCTGAACACTTTGGCTTCATCATTATTAAAACTACTTTAAAGTCTTATTTATTTATTTATTTTTTTGAGACGAGGTCTCACTCAGTGAGCACCATCTTGGCTCACTGAAGCCTCCACCTCTCGGGTTTCAGCAATTCTCCTGCCTCAGCCTGTCAGGTAACTGGGATGACAGGCACACCCTACCACACCCAGCTAGTTTTTGTATTTTTTAGTAGAGATGGGGTTTCACCATGTTGGCCAGGCTGGTTATTGATCTCAAATGATCCACCTAACTCAGCCTCCCAAAGTGCTGGGATTACAGGTGTAAGCCACCCCACCCTGTCAAAGTCTTTTAGCTTATTTTTTTCAGAGTATGTCACTGTTACTTTTGTCATAATTGTTTTAACCATTTAAAACCTCTGCAAGTTGTCCTAAAAACATGTATCAAACAACAGAACATCTATTCAAGAAGACCCCTACAACTATGGTAACAATAGCAAGAATCCATGGTATTTGTTCCACAACCTGCTTCTTCCTTATCTTCAGTTTAGGTTGTCAAATGTTCCACTGCAGGTGGGTATGGCCAAGAAGCCTGTGTTCCCTCTTCTTTCATCTACCAGGCAGAGATAAAATATCAGGAGGGGCAGTCCATGAGCACTACTGATTCCCTCCAACACCAAGTTGTAGAAATTAAATTCCTGGTTAGTGTGACCAGAAGTTAAGGGCTCTCAACCTCCCTCTAGCCCAGGCTTGTCAGCCTGAGAATACCTCCTTATCCCTTCACTGTGGTTCACTTGTAGGGTGGAGTTTCCATGCTGGGAGAGACAAGCAAAGAAGACCAAAGGCTCCCTGTCCAGTGGAAGGAGCCATGGCTCAGAGGTTTTGCCCAGGAAGAGAGGCAGTCCATAAAACCATAGTGCTTGGAAGCTATTCCCCAAGATACCCACTTTGTTTGAAACAACGTGGAGAAATTCAAGTGTAGAAACTTGAAGAAAAGTTAATGCTAGCTGATCCACTCTATGAGTAATACTAAAAGAAGACTTTCAAGGAGAAAACAAGCGACCTTTTCTAATGGTAATACAAATCCACCTGGACAAACAGTAAGGGAATTATGTAATTATAAAAGACAGCATAATTGTATATCTTTCCCTTCTCCTTGTAACTTATTTTAAAAACAATAAGTATTTTATTGTTTAAAAGAGTACATTTTTAATTGTATTTCAAGGCCAATAGCATATGGAAATGTAATTGTCCTTAATAAGAATGACACAAAGAGAAAAGGTGGGAGCAAAGTTATATTGGAATAAAGAACAATAGTAGATGTTAACTTGAACCTCTAGAAATAAAGAGAACTTATAACTAAGAAAGTAAAAATGAAAAGCTCTACAAATTTATACCTTTTCCTCCTGCTTCCTTAAAAGGCATAAAATAATATAAGTTGATAATAATAACACTGTATTATTGAGTTTGTAACATATTTAGATTTAACATATATAATAATAATAGCACCAAAAGAGGGAAGAGCCAGTAGTTATGGAGCTATTAGAGTAATAATTCAGCATCTCACAGAAGTTAATTTAGCATAAATTTCAGGCATCCTTTGGTAAATTATGTATATGATAATGTCTAGAACAGTTAATAAGAAAATAATGGGTCTCAAATCAATAACCTAGTCCTTTACCTTGAGACACTGGTAAAAGAACAGCTAAATCTGAAGCAAGCAGAAAGAAGAAAATGAAAAGTTTTGGAAAGTAACAGAGTAGAAACCAATGAAATAGAGAATAGAAGAGAAAAGTGGAAAAAGTCAATAAAACCAAAAGCTGTTTTTAGAAATGATCAACAAAGTTGACAAAGCTTTTAGTTAGACTGGCCAAAACAAAACGAAACAATCAAGAAAAACAACAGAAAACTCAAATAACTAAAATCAAGAATGAAACAGGAGGCATCACTACTGACTTTACAGAAATAAAAAGGATTATAAGGTAATACTATGAACAACAGTATGCCCACAAATTAAATTATACAAAATAGGCAAATTGCTAGAAAGACACAAGCTACCAAAACTACCTCATAAAGAAATAGATCATCTGAGTAAAAGTAACAAGAGATTGAATTATGTATTTGTTATCATGCTGCTATGAAAAAATACCTGAGACTGGGTAGTTTATAAAGAAAAGAGGTTTAATTGACTCAGAGTTCCATGTGGCTGAGGAGGCCTCAGGAAACTTACAATCATGGCATAAGGTACCTCTTCACAGGGTGGCAGGAGAGAGAATGAGAGCAGAGTGAATGGGAAAGCCCTTTATAAAGCCATCAGATCTCAAAAGAACTCACTATCATGAGAACAGTATTGAGGAAACTGCCCTGTGATTCAATTATCTCCACCTGGTCCTGCCCTTGACACATGGGAATTATTACAATTTAAGGTGAGATTTGGGGGGGGGGTGACACAGAGCCAAACCATAACAATTATTAATCATAAAACTACCACAAGAAAAGCACATCCCCAAATGACTTCACTGGCTACTTCTTCTAAACAGCTAGAGAAGAATTTATAAAAGTTCCTTGCAAACTTGACCAAAAATAGAAGAGTACAATTTCCCATTCAGTTTGAAATGGTATTAAAATGCTACCAAACCCGAAGACATCACAATTAAAGTGTAGACCAATATGTCTTTTGAAAAAGAATGCAAAAATCCTCAACAAAGTACTAGCAAACCAAATCCCAGAAACATATACCAAAACTTATGCTCATATGAAGTGGGATTTTTTCTGCGAAAGAAAGTATGGTTTAATGTGAAAATCAATTAATGTGGAACACCATGTCCACAG